TCTCCTGTGAGGGAGTTTGTCTTCTGTCTAAAGGCCCGGACACACAAAGTGTCACAGTAAAATGCCATTGCAAACGTTCATCATCATCATTTTACCACAAGTTCAAATTCTGGTTATCAGAACTACTTTGTGTTTCTATTGTATTTCATAAAAGCACTCGGCTGGCAGTGCGTGTTCCGAGTTGTCAGACTCCGGCAAGATGAGGGAGGTGATGCTTGGTGCTCAAACACAGTCAAGATGGACACGGGTGGATGGATGGATATGTGTATGTAGTAAATAACCTTTGTATATAAATAACTGTATATATTTTTAAGTTAATTCAATTTTATATGTTACCATATTTTAATACACGTTTAATTTTCTGTTAAGTTCTCTGTGTGTAGCATGAAGGGACTACAAACTACAGACTTTCACAAAGTGCTGTATGAATGTATAATGATAATGTATAATGAGCGCCGTCCTAGAGCCAGACCTTGATGGTGGATGAGAACTGCTGACCTGGACTGGAGATATTGTTGGGGGATGGAAAGATTGTTGCATGGAGGTCAGGGAAAGAACGTATGGTGTGGCAGACTGCAGATGTGGTTCCCATATTCAAAAAGGGGAACCAGATGGATCCAACTATTGTGGTATCACACTGCTCAGCCTTCCCAGGAAAGTTTATTCCAGGGGGCTGGAAATGAGGGTCCGAGTGGTTTTGTCAAACCGCACATTCAGGAGGAGCTGTCCTGGCTGTGGAACAGTAGACCAGCAAAAGTGCTGGTAGGTGTTGCATTCCAACATTGTTGACCCTTGTTTCTGATCTTTCACACAGGGCCAGTGTGAAGTGATTGGGATGAAGGTCAGCACCTCCAAGTCTGCGGCCATGGTTCTCTGCTGGAAAACAGTGGATATCTCCTTCCAGGTTGGGAGTGAGCTCCTACCCCAAGCGAAGGAGAACAAGTATCTCATGATCTTGTTCACGAGTCAGTTAAGGTGGTTCAGGCATCAGGATCCTCCTGGGCACCTTCTTTTGGAGGTTTTCCTGGCACACCCAGGGTAGACCAAGAACCAGGCCTGGGAAGACCTTCGGATCCCCCAAGACAGGGGTTTTCAAAGTGTGAGACTGTGGGCCTCCCCTCAGACAAAAATTGAGCTTTAGTTGACCTGAACCCGGAAAAGTGAAAGATAATGGATGAATGGATTGTGAAGCCTGCCAGAAATGTACATAATGTTTTAACTGTAGTGTTTGTTGTAATTGTCATTTTAATTAATTAAGTCTTCATTTTCAAAATAAGATACGGCAGCCATTTTACAGTACAGTAAGAAAAAAGAACATACCTAGAACCTAATTACATTGAGTTTGATCATTTCAAATATCATACTTTACTTTACTACTAGTATTAGTAGAAATGCTACTACAGAAAAAAAAAACTGCTTATCTGGGGTCAGGTCGCGAGGGCATCAGCTCCAGCAGGGGACCCCTCCCTTTTTTCAAGCCACATTAGTCAGCTTTGACTTGGGGATCCTGAGGTGTTCAGGCCAGTGTGGCAATATAATCTCTCCACCTACTCCTGGGTCTTCCCATGTCTCCCCCCAGCTGGATGTGCCTGGTGGGCATCCTGAACTCCCTCACCTGGGGTAAGGATTTATTCCCTACCTGTAGTGAGCACTCCATCCTGCTGAGAACCACATCCTCAGATTTAGAGGTGCTAATTCTTATTCCAGCCGCTTCACACTGGGCTGCGAACTGATCCGGTGAGTGCTAAAGGTCACGGACCGATGATGTCAACAGGACCACATCTCAGCCAGTGTCACTGGTCACTGAATACCAGTTAAATATCAAGCGAAGTTTGAGGTCAAGGGCAACTGGACTTGGTTGAAGATACTAGAAGACGTTAAATGTGACCAGTTAAATGTGTTGATTCTTCATTACAGCAGCTCACTACACACTTAATCTCACAGTAGTTCTGCTTAAGCACTCACTGTTCTTTCCATCTTTTAGCGACCCTCTTTAAAATCTCATAGTTGTTAACAAGAGTTACTACTAGTATTAGTAAAAACAGTGAGTTTCACTAAATTAAGTTTTATAACTAGGTTCAGGAACAAGGACCATGCCTCGAACAGATCTCATTTCCACACAAAAACATTTAAGTTTTCATCATTTAAAACACACAGCACAAGATGCTGGGCATTTACAGTTTTTTACAATCACTTTGGTACTATTTTCAGAACCTTGATGTCATTTTTCACAACTCTAGACACAAAACTCAAAACGGTTATCACTTGTAACACAGGCTGTCTAATGTTCAAAACATTGCATTGTGCATTCACATCTTTACAGAAAACTTGCACTTGCACAATCATTGGTTCAAAAAACAAATTTACTGTGAAATACCATTGAAACATAACTATAGATCACCCACACACAAGCACTGTGTCATTGTTCATACAATCATTAAATATTGTAGAACAAAATAGGTGATACAGGTTTCATTATGGTACTACAAGTACAGTAAATACATCTCTGTAAAAGTACTGCAGTAGTAGAGAGAATACTACAGACACAGTGGAATCATTGAACAAAGTTTGTAATATATTGATGCAAAACACTACAGTACAATCACAACATAGGCCACGAATCCAGGCCTGACACTGGTCTGCTGTGATGTCATTGCAGGCGTCATCCATGGCCTGGAGAAGAGTGACTTGTTCATGAGGGTGCTTGTCATGAACCTTCCATCTCCATGCGGAGAAAAATTCCTCAATCGGGTTAAGGAAGGGAAGCGCTACAAACCTGATGGAGCTCATCAAGAAAGGTGACAAGGAGAACTGCATTATATGGTCCAATATGAGGTCTGCGTCCCACCACACCTCTCAAACGAGGCCCACGACCACCTCTCAGAAGGGGTGCCTGTCCCCTGCCATTCCTTTGACCAACACGTCTTCCTCGTCTTCCTCCCACCACTGCTTGACCTCCACTGTGACCTGTATCACCTGCTGGCTCCCTGTTACGTATCACTATGCTCTTGCAATTGGATCCCAATCAACTCTTTATATACTCATTCCACAATGTGCACTCAATCATCAGGAACGAGTTGGCAGAATTGGACAAGCAATTACAAGGGCCTGCATCTATACAGTGCAGTACTGTCAATACTGTAAATAGTCTGAAAAGGTGGTACAGTATTTGGGACCATAGACACAGTGTCTGATCTCGTTATCTTGAAACTTTCATGATTTACTGTAAACATGGAAGATTGTTTGTCTGTTTCCATACAACTATGCATTAAGAGTAATGCAACAGTTACTTATCATTTTGAGCAGTTGTTTCAATTGATAGTTTAATCATTGTAAGGAAATGAATAGACACTCATTTGAAATGTAATGTGTGAACTGCCTTTTGAAATAGTAGTACTTTGATGTTAAGTTGTGTCATATTGAACAGGTGATTTTAGTTGAATGAACAAATGATGAAGTTTTATGTGTATTGTATCCAAGCAATTGAGAAAAGGGTTCGAGTTTTGAAAAATGTGCATTTTGATCATCGGTTGTGAGTTTTGTGTCTAGAGTTGTGGAAAAGCTGTAAAAGAGATTGCAGCAGGGACGTCACTAAGATTGAAACACAGGGGGGGCTTAGCCCCCAGGGGATGCGTAACTTGCGCTTGCAAAATCTTTGCACTCACATCTTTTGTTACTGTATTAGAACTACACTTATGTCAACAAGCAGTGAAGAAGCCAAGATGTTAACAAATAAAAAGCAACAGACATACTTTGTTCTTCCATTTCTCCTCTGTTGAACAAAAGGTACTGTAATGTTACATGGGCGTCTGGAGCAAAAGAAATGTGGGTGTGTCCTCCTCCAGGATTTATATATATATATATATAAATTTTGTTTTATAGAAATCATCATTGATTATAAGTTATATGCTATTTTAAAGCTGCTAAGTTCAATGTTTTGCTCTAAACTGCTTTTTGTTGTATTTTGTATACAATGTCAATAGAGTCTCTATCATGAATCCTGAAATCTGTTAGTTGGGGGGGTCCTCCCCCCGAAGATTTAGAGCATTAAACACTTAATTTCCTGCATTCTTGGGATTTGTTTGCACCAATTTATGGTGAAATGTTTTTATTTATGTAAAGGGAAACACAAAATTCAGGTGGCAGGTGACAGTTCAAAATCTAAAACTCAACAGAGCTTCAGTCGGTGCAGCTCTCAGTCATTCTGTGGTGCTTTCAGATATGTTTCTCATGTAGATCAACTTTCTCATGTAATATCATCCCTGCTGAGTCAACACACATTGAGAAAACAATAAGTTTGTCCAGTCCATTTCTGAATCAGATTTGGCTGTGACATAAATACTACCCAGCTGCTCATGTATATCTCTATTAGATAAGTTCTCACAGAGATCCAAAGAATACTATTTAATTACACTAATTACTGTTACTGCACTGTGGATTGGTTCAATCATGGTTTCAGCCCCCCTAAAATAGGCCTAACAACATCCATGGATTGCAGAGACTCCAACAATAAAAAAGGTATTAAGGTAGACATGGGAACATTTGTAGTTGTGTTTAAAAATGATAACTGCCACCTCCACTGCCTGACAGCCAAGAATAATTAAAACAGTAGTAATTAAGGGACATGCCTCAGTTAGTGGGGAAAAATTAATAAGTGTTAGTTATAACAACATCTTATATCTTTTACATATAAAGGACTTGTTTAAAGGGACCTCACATTAAGTAGACTAAAGAAATAATGAAAATCTATCAACACCAGCCACAGAGCCCCAGAGCATTATTCAGAGTAACTCTGTTTCTGGACAGACGTGTTGTTTTTTAAAGCTCCACAGAGCTGCAGAGTTTGGTGATAACTGGGATCAGAACATAGACTGTATATAAATGTGTATGTAATGTTTATACAGTCAGTGGTTCAGAACAACCAGAGACAGTTTCACCTCACAGTCATTTCATCCATGTATTAAAGCATATTTAAAAGATGAAACAAATTGTTTTCTACTTTAAACATTTCATTCATTTCACAATCATCACATCCTACAAAAACATAGTGTTGTGTCAGAAGGAATGAGTTTGCTCTGAAGAGGAACAGGAACTACTTCTGGGTTTGACTGAAGGTTAAACACAGATAAGATCGCATCAGTCAATAAAAAAACATGAACATTCAGCCTTGTTGCTGTTGTGCATGTTTGATTGTTTTTTTCTCTGCTAAGCATTGTTTCTTCTTCTGGTGTAAAGTGCAGGTGATGCCAACAGATTTGCCCGAAACACGCTTTGTTGGAATAAATGAAACTAAATACACAGTGATGCAGGAGCTGCAGTCCTGTATTGTGAATCAAAGCCTATCATCAGTGTCTACTGTCTGCAGAGCGAGTTGTTGTAGCAGTAGGATCCTCTGCCAGCTGAAGTTCCTGTCCTGGTGTTAAAAGAGAGATCAGCTGCTGATAATCTGCTGTGTGTTGGTCCTGGAGAACTACTGCACAGGACGGATCTTCATGATGATGAAGCAGATCTGAGGTCTGTGAGGGAGTGATGATGGACAGGTGACCAGCTGCACCTTTAAACTGTGAGTTAAAACAACACTCACATGTCCACATGTACATAAGTAAAGTTTTAATAATAATAATAATTTTTATTTGTAGAGCACTTTTCAAAAACAAGTTACAAAATGCTTTAACAAGTGTAATGACAATAATACCCTAGAGACAATAATACAAAAACAATACAAGATAAAAGCATGAAAACACTGAAAAGACTAAAATACACGTTTAAGATAAATATAAAATTAGTAAAATACAATAAAATAAAAGGGGTAAAATAAAGTCAAATAAGATCGGGAAAGGCTCTCCTATAAAAGGCCATGAAGAACTTTAAAAGTGATCAATAAAAATTTAAAGTAAATTCTAAAACATACTGGGAGCCAGTGTAATGAAGCTAAAATAGGAGCAATGTGGTCATATTTCTTTGTTCTGGTTAAAAGCCCGGCAGCTGAGTTCTGGACAGTCTGGAGTCGATCAATAGATTTTTGGGTTAAACAGGTGAAAAGGCTGTTGCAATAATCCAGGCGTGATGAGATGAAGGCGTGTAAAATGGTCTCGGTGTCCTTAAAAGTTAACATAGATCGAATGTTTGCTATATTTCTAAGTTGATAAAAACATGATTGAAGTGACTTCCGGTTCGAATGTCACCGTGACCGCAGCACTGTGAATCCTAAGGAAACCTACGAAATTTAAACCTTTACCCTGTTAAGACAATGCAGATTTGGGTTTAGAGGTAGATAAGTGAGGGGGTAAGTGAAAAACACAAAAACTAACGCTTCGACGGAGCAACATAGTGGGTGCTTAAACCTGGGAAAATAGCGCTAGCTTCCCTGCTAACGCTAAAGGGATTCACTGCTCGACACGAGGCCACACACTGGTGGACTGCTACCGCATGGTGAGACAATATGGCCAACATAGACATGGTACTTCATGAATTGAGGGACTTTTGCCAAGAAAACAATGTGAGTTTGGGGGAAATTCAGGAAGAAATATCTAAGATGAGCGCGAGAATGGACGAGGCTGAAGGACGGATTGAGAAGGTGGAGGAGAGGATTCAGAACACAGAGGACGCCATGACGGAAATAATAAAGTTACAAATAAGATTGGAGGATAAATTAATGGACTTGGAGAGGCGCACGAGAAGGGAAAACGTCCGCATCTACGGTGTACCCGAGACAGCAGAGTGGGACTCTCCAAAAATGAGTGATTTTGTGGAGAAGCTGCTGTGCGACGGGTTGGAGGTGTCTCAAGATGAGCTTGACATGTGCATCGAACGGGCGCATCGCTCTCTAGGCCCACCATCGCCAGACGACGCACCCCCACACTCTATTATTGTGAAATTCCTCAGCTTTAAGACCAAAGAACTTGTGCTCCGTAAGGCGTGGAAGAAAAAAGGATTTGCCTGGAATGGCAAACAAGTAAGTTTAGACCATGATTACCCTCCTCTCATCCTAAAGAAACGAAGAGAATATGCAGAGGTGCGCAAGATTCTGAAAGAGCAGCAGATCCCCTTTCAGACTCTCTTTCCAGCTAGGCTAAAGGTGAAATACACTGAAGAAACCAAAATCTACAACACAGTTGTGGAAGCTACTGCAGATATGTCCAGTAGAGGCTATGCGGTGAAGGTCATCACATCACCAGAAACAGCGTTGGAGCAAATGAAGCAGCTGACCTGGAGCAGAGTTGGCAGAGGAGCGGGGAGCAGCGCAGCAAACAAGAGGCGGGACCCCGGTTACAAAGAAACACTCAGAGCCTTCAGGAGGACCTCACCTATGCCTTCGGGGAAATTGAGGTTCACCCACTATGCTGTTTCTTTATCTTACAACTGAAAAATAACTGTTATTCAGTTTAATGGTGTGCAATAAGCAGATAAGTAAGGTTTTTGGAGGGTGTTCTTCTCAGTGAGGCCTTAGCTTTTGAGGGCCTCCTCCACTGACTGATGAAGAAGTTGCCCTTGAAGGCGAAGCAGAGTCCACCGCTAGGACCCCTACCTTGGAAGTTAGAACTACCTCAGTTTGATTTTTGTCTTTTGTTGATGTTATTTGTTCATGTGTTCCATGTTCAGTGTTTACAAGGGTGTGTGGGGAGCCTATTAGAATGGGTGTATTCGTTGTATGATTTAGATGAATAGCAGACCAGTGAAGATGGTATCAATCAATATTAATGGCCTACACAATCCGGGTTAAAGGTGGAAAGCCCTATCTAACCTTAAATGAGAGAAAGCTAAGGTTGTTTTTATGCAGGAAACACATCTGTCGGATAGCGAACATGAAAAACTGAACAAGCTTGGTTTTAAACATGTCTTTTATTCTTCTCACAGTTCGGGGAAGCGAAGAGGTGTGGCAATCTTAGTGCACAGCGCTCTGAACTATGAACATATATCAGAGTATAAAGATAAGGAGGGTAGATATAGGAAGCAAATGGTCCTTGTATAAACAGATCCTTGAATTAACAACAACAAGGAGTCAGGGAATTCTATTATATGGCGGTGATCTTAACCTCACACTAAACGCCAAATTAGATTCTTCAAACGGGAAAGGTGATTCGAGAAACATTGGGAAAAGAATGGTACACCTGATGGACGAATTAGGATTAGTTGATGTGTGGAGGGACTGCCACACAACCGATAGGGAATATACCCACTATTCATGTGCACACAATGTCTACTCAAGGTTAGACTATATCTTCATGTTTAGAACTGATCTCCTCAGGGTAAAAAATTGTGAAATAGGTCCCTGTACTATATCAGACCATAACCCGGTCTACGCTGATATCTGCCTGAACAGGAAGAAAAGATCCACCTTATGGAGGTTGAACACAAACATTCTTAATTACCCAAATATTAAAGAGCGCTTGAAGAAAGATATAGAGTACTTAGTATATAACGATAAGGACGAGGTGTCACCAGGAACACTTAAGGCAGTGATTAGGGGGAATATAATTGGTATTTCCTCTCACCTGAAAAAAGTAGGTCTGCAAAAACTCCGGCACTTAGAAGACAAGTTGCTAGATCTGCAACACCAACACTCCGCGTCTCATAATGGTAATATTAAATCGGATATAACAAAATTGAAAAAAGAAATAGATGATTTGAACACCACGGACATACAGAACAAACTCATTCTTATAAAGCAACAGTACTATGAGGTAGGGGGGAAATCATTGAAACTTCTTTCTTATAAGCTTAGGAAACAGCAAGCGGAGAGATCTATTCACAAAATTAAGAATCCCCTAAAGGATCGAATAGAAACTGAACAGGAAAAAATTCAACAATGCTTTCTGGAGTATTATAAGACACTATATTCTCAACCTCATATAGACAATGACCAGGATATTAATACCTTCCTGTCTGAACTTGAGTTACCAACAGTGACAAAGGAACAAAATGAAAAGTTATTATCCACAATAACTAAAGAAGAAATTCAGTTGGCAATTAAAAGATTAAAGGGAGGGAAGATGGCAGGGGCAGATGGATTTGGTCCGGAATGGTACAAAATAATGCAGGATTTTTTGGCCCAGACAGCACACACTGTGTCAAGGCGAAATGGGAAAAAGAAGGTAATCTGAAAATCACAAAAGAATGTTGGGAACACATATGCGAGATACAATGGGTTACAACTGGTTCTAATGTATGGCGTGAATTTTGTTGGAAAAGTGTATTGAGATTTTTTATCACCCCTGTTCAGAAAAGGTATCGGGGCATTGGAGATACTTGCTGGAGATGTGGGGGGGTTGGTGCCAACCATTTCCACATTTTTTGGGACTGCCAAGTTATTTCTCAGTATTGGTATAGAATTCATGAGCATATACAGAATGTTTTTGCACTTGTTTTTCCATTTACCTTTGAAACCCTATACCTAAGTAATGTATCAACGGATAAACTGGACTGGAAGGACAAGAAAGGCGAATCGCAGCTAAAAACAATACATCTGTGGTCAGATATGGTCATGTCCACTAATTCCACAGAGGAAATGCTGACACCCAGGGTAAAAACCAGTGTAAGTCCAGTGTATGACCACGGTTATGTGTTTGCCTTTTGACATGTTGTTTGAAGTTAAAAGAAGTGGCCATATTTAAAAAGTCAGTTGCATTAACATTGGTGGGTTCATCAACATGAATATTGAAAGTGCCACAAAGAACAATTTTGTCATAATTTAAAACCAGAGTAGATAAAAATTCAGGAAGTTCTGATAAAAATCCTCCAGGCAGTTTTGGGGGGCGATAAATTATAACAAATATGACAGGTTGCAGCGCTCCAAGTTTAAGAGTGAGAACTTCAAAGGAGTTAAATTCATCACAGCGTACTTGATGACATTTAAAATTTTCCCTATACACGCTCACAAGCCCACCACCACGACCACTGACCCTCGGTTGACTAAAACAATCATATTGAGGCGGACACAGTTCAGCTAGCTGGCTATAGTCATTCATCTGCAACCAGGATTCAGTTAAAAACATAAAATCTAGATTTGCAGACAAGATAAAATCATTTAAGATAAAAGTCTTAATTTAAGGTACTTGTACTTCAGTGTTTCCATGTCATGCTTTGTTGCAGTAATTCTCAGAGGGAAATATTGGACTTCAAATGGTTATTTTAAGTATTATTACAGATTGAGCTGTCCAGCAGCATCTAACAACCTTTACCAGCTGGAACATTAAGGTGATGAACACATGAATGAGTTAATAATTATAATCCATTAATATATATTATTCTGAAATGACCCAATCTGCATAATGAGTACTTTTACTGGTGGGAAGTAAGTATATTTTGATGCTAATACAGGATGCAGGTTAACGTAGTATTTCTAGACCGTGCTATTTGAAGGGATTTTGGTTTAATTTAGAAATGTTTATACAGTCAGTGGTTCAGAACAACCAGAGACAGTTTCACCTCACAGTCATTTCATCCAGTGTATTAAAGGCATATTTAAAAGATGAAACAAATTTGTTTTCTACTTTAAACATTTCATTCATTTCACAATCATCACATCCTACAAAAACATAGTGTTGTGTCAGAAGGAATGAGTTTGCTCTGAAGAGGAACAGGAACTACTTCTGGGTTTGACTGAAGGTTAAACACAGATAAGATCGCATCAGTCAATAAAAAAACATGAACATTCAGCCTTGTTGCTGTTTTGCATGTTTGATTGTTTTTTTCTCTGTTAAGCATCGTTTCTTCTTCTGGTGTAAAGTGCAGGTGATGCCAACAGATTTGCCCGAAACACGCTTTGTTGGAATAAATGAAACTAAATACACAGTGATGCAGGAGCTGCAGTCCTGTATTGTGAATCAAAGCCTATCATCAGTGTCTACTGTCTGCAGAGCGAGTTGTTGTAGCAGTAGGATCCTCTGCCAGCTGAAGTTCCTGTCCTGGTGTTAAAAGAGAGATCAGCTGCTGATAATCTGCTGTGTGTTGGTCCTGGAGAACTACTGCACAGGACGGATCTTCATGATGACGGTCTTCAGGGAGTTAAATTAAGTTAAAAAAGAAAATGCCCGTTCTGTGGCCAAAGCCAAAGGGCTCCTTTGATCAAACTTCAGTCGATGGAGAGACTTTTCTTCTGTTGCAGCGGTACTTTATACTTTATTTATTCTGATTAGAAACACATACTATAGAACATTTAGTCTTTCTGTATCACACATAAACAGGAGTGCAGCTCAGACATTTCTCTGCATGAAATGAAGTTGTGTATTAGGCGGACATGTTTTCTGCAGCAGTGAAGCAGATCTGAGGTCAGAGACTCTGTGAGGCAGTGATGATGGACAGGTGACCAGCTGCACCTTTAGACTGTGAGTTAAAACAACACTCACATGTCCACATGTACATAAGTAAAGTTTTAAGGTACTTGTACTTCAGTGTTTCCCTGTCATGCTTTGTTGCAGTACTTCTCAGAGGGAAATATTGGACTCCAAATGGTTATTTTAAGTATTATTACAGATTGAGCTGTCCAGCAGCATGTAACAACCTTTACCAGCTGGAACATTAAGGTGATGAACACATGAATGAGTTAATAATTATAATCCATTATATATATTATTCTGAAATGACCCATTCTGCATAATGAGTACTTTTACTGGTGGGAAGTAAATATATTTTGATGCTAATACAGGATGCAGGTTAACGTAGTATTTCTAGACCGTGCTATTTGAAGGGATTTTGGTTTAATTTAGAAATGTTTATACAGCCAGTGGTTCAGAACAACCAGAGACAGTTTCACCTCACAGTCATTTCATCCAGTGTATTAAAAGCATATTAAAAAGATGAAACAAATTTGATTTCTACTTTAAACATTTCATTCATTTCACAATCATCACATCCTACAAAAACATAGTGTTGTGTCAGAAGGAATGAGTTTGCTCTGAAGAGGAACAGGAACTACTTCTGGGTTTGACTGAAGGTTAAACACAGATAAGATCGCATCAGTCAATAAAAAAACTTGAACATTCAGCCTTGTTGCTGTTGTGCATGTTTGATTGTTTTTTTCTCTGTTAAGCATCGTTTCTTCTTCTGGTGTAAAGTGCAGGTGATGCCAACAGATTTGCCCGAAACACGCTTTGTTGGAATAAATGAAACTAAATACACAGTGATGCAGGAGCTGCAGTCCTGTATTGTGAATCAAAGCCTATCATCAGTGTCTACTGTCTGCAGAGCGAGTTGTTGTAGCAGTAGGATCCTCTGCCAGCTGAAGTTCCTGTCCTGGTGTTAAAAGAGAGATCAGCTGCTGATAATCTGCTGTGTGTTGGTCCTGGAGAACTACTGCACAGGACGGATCTTCATGATGATGAAGCAGATCTGAGGTCTGTGAGGGAGTGATGATGGACAGGTGACCAGCTGCACCTTTAAACTGTGAGTTAAAACAACACTCACATGTCCACATGTACATAAGTAAAGTTTTAAGGTACTTGTACTTCAGTGTTTCCATGTCATGCTTTGTTGCAGTACTTCTCAGAGGGAAATATTGGACTCCAAATGGTTATTTTAAGTATTATTACAGATTGAGCTGTCCAGCAGCATGTAACAACCTTTACCAGCTGGAACATTAAGGTGATGAACACATGAATGAGTTATAATTATAATCCATTTATATATTATTCTGAAATGACCCATTCTGCATAATGAGTACTTTTACTGGTGGGAAGTAAGTATATTTTGATGCTAATACAGGATGCAGGTTAACGTAGTATTTCTAGACCGTGCTATTTGAAGGGTTTAATTTAGAAATATTTATTGTATTTATTTATTTATAAGAACATGACTCTTTCAGTTATTGTTTATTATGTGGAACTTCAGGGGTTCATCCTAACTTCGGGATGAATGAATGTATAAATGAATGAATTCTCATATGTCATGGTGTTTACTGAAGGATTTAAGGTAATAAACAAACAAAACTACATCACATGTTCTTCATTTGTTTCATTTCCAGATTCAGTGTTTGTTAATGAAATTAAGGGCGATCTGCACACTTTAAGGCATTTTATTGTGTAAACTATTCAAAATGGACCAAATCATCCCTGAACTGAACACTGAAAAGAGCCTGATAAAAATGATAAAAATTAAAGTTGTGCTTTCATGTTTCATGCTTTCATTTACAGGAGTTTTTAACCCTTAAACTGAGCAGATAATCTATCAACACATTTACATGTTAGAATCCATTAATCAGTAAACTTTACCGCCCACGTTTATGATTTATAAGCAGCAGATAATAAACTGACAATTTAACACCGTTGTGATCATTTAAAATATATCTTCATGTTTTATATGAAGTATTAAATATATTAAGTATTATATTTATTAATGAAGTGTAATCTGTTTATAAATAGAACCAGGTAGGTTTAAATTAGCTCAGAAACATTTGAGCAGATTGTAGTTATCGTCCTCATGTAGTTGATCAACATTTCATGAGTTTTTTTCTATGTATATTGTACAATTACAATCAATTACTGATCTTTACCCTGTGAGAGGCTTGATGGAGCTGCAGCACTAAAGTGAACTGTACCTTTTTGGGCCGGACAGAAGCTCCAACATCAGTGAAGACGGTGGCGCCCCCTGCCTGTACGTCACTCATCTGCAGCATGAAGGAGGAGACAGATTAACCCTTGCAGTCAGTTTGGCACATTTTCTCTCTCACAATAATCAGTGCTGTCTGAAAGTGAAGATTTATTTCTATAATAAATTCTATAAACATGAAGATTTTAGGTTCGCCTCGAAAGAAAATGTTTTTATTATAAGATGTGACGTCTCATCTCAGACGTCTGAGCAGCTTCATAATCAAATAAAAACAGGAGAGAACTGATAAAGTAGAACAAATAAATATTTACTCAGTTTTTACTGTCTCTGACTTTATGACTTAATGGGGTCAAAGGTCAACTACAGTAAGGTGAAGAGTTCACTTAGTATACGTGACTAAGTGTGACGGATCATTTTGTTCACAATGACTGAGATGTTGACTGACAGCTAGACAGACCAAACAGTGGGCGGGGCGGGCGGCGGCGTTCTGCTCATAGCTACTAAGATAAGAAACATCATGTGAGGGTTACTGACATAAAGCAGCCAGGTGGCGATTCTGTTTCCTGTCCCCAACTCTTCAAACGCATCCGGTTTATCTTTCTGAAAGATCACAACAGTGAAATCAATCAATACTCCAACTTCATCAGAGATATTATCCTGCACCGAGTGTATTTGGTGCTGATACTTTTGTACTTTTACTAAGAACAGAGTACTTCTACGTTGTAGTATTACTACTTCCTCTGAAGTAAAAGAGCTGAGTACTTCGTCTTCTCTTCTTTCTGCCAAAACTAATCAACACTTCAGAGACAAACACAGAAGCATCATTTCAGAGCCTCCTGCTGCTGAGAGGGAAACGTCCATTTACCCGTCCAAAGTCAAAGTGAGGCTCGTACTGTCCTCCCACGCCGTAGTTGGCCACCTGCATCCACAAACACACAGAAATAACATTTAAAGAGATAAAGGAGAAACATGCAAATGAAAAGTCTGTTTGAATCTCGTGTTAATCTGGATTCTTTAATTCAATTAAATTCAAATTAGCTTTGTTGGCATGAATGTGTAACAACAATATGGCCAAAGCATCATACAAACATTATTAAAAAATAAAATATATTAAAAATTTAAATAAATAAATCAATGAAAAGGTAACGTGCTATTATAATAATATATTAAAAATTTAAATAAAAGAAATAGATAATACCGTAAATGTGTGTGTGTGTATGAATAGACAAAAAAATAAAAAATTAGATTTAAATAATAATAATTTTTAAAAAAAGAAATCAGTATCAAATGTGAAATTTGTGTTTAGAGGCTGCATATCTTTTGATGATTCACAGATCATGTGATTTGAAAGCCTGAAATATTCGGCTGCCCAGAGGCCCGAAAACTGGACCTGGCTGTTCGTCAACTTTGTCTCCAAATCCTGAAGAAGAAAAGCAGACAGGCGAGTTGACTGTGAGGTGAAACTGTCTCTGGTTGTTCTGAACCACTGGCTGTATAAACATTTCTAAATTAAACCAAAATCCCTTGCAGATCCTCAGCGGTGGTGTTCCTTATTCTGGATTGTATCTAAAAAAATGTATGTGACAGCTGAATCTCATAATGTCAGTCCGTTTAGTTTTCATTAAAGCTACATCCAAATGTGTCTGAGGGTGAACTGATAAAGTTCTTAATTTTAGTTCCACACAGCAGATGAAATTAAAGGTTAAAGAGAAATTAACTGCAAAGGTGGTCAAAGGAGGGAGCTGTGGCAGCAACATATGTGGTAACAGCACAACTAAGTAGTTAAAGATAAAATAAAAGACGTCAGATAAGAGATAGAGAAAGCTCAGCATAAAGGGAAAATAGGGAGAAACAGTTTGACCAACAGGTAGATAGTACTGATGTACGATATAGCCTTTAGTGAAGGAAAAGTACGGAATAATGAAACACCCCATTCTGTTAGATAAGGTCTAAATAGATATACCCCCTGATGAAGAAACGTATACAGCAAGTGGAAGGAAGATATAGGAAAGTGCATTTAAGGGCCAGTACAGGCAGAAGAAGAAGAAAAAAGAATTAGGGTCTTTAAAGGGTTGAGTTCAGATAGAAAGGAGAGATGGAAAAAGAGAGGCTATAATAGATAGGGAGGCGACGAGAGCTAGATTTGAATAGGAAAAAAACAACAACTACCAAACAAAGAAGTGAAAAGTTAAAGTTGATGGCAGAAAGACAAAAGATCTGCCTACAGACCAAGGCACCTGCAGAGCACAACAAACCATGAGACATGACGACAGCGAGACAGAGCTACAATGGACAAGATGGTAGCTCTGAAGTTTCATGCTGGAAGAAGAAGGGGAGAGAGCAGCTTCAAAATGGACAGAGAAGAATCTGACTGTGAGGAAGAGATGGAGGGCCACAAATGAGCAGTGATGCAGGAGGTGTTTCACAGAGAGGCGTGTCAACCTGGTGCATCACAGGCCCAAGCCCACCACCACTGACGTCAGCGTCTTCCCAATGCTGAGGACACGGCCAGTCAGACCACCCCTACCATCTACAGTTGAATCATAAAGAGGACAACACCACCTTAAAGACTGCGAACCTAATGTCTCGGGTTACGTATGTAACCCTTGTTCCCCGAGAAGGGGAACGAGACACTGCGTCGGTGACGACACTATGGGAACACCCCTGGGCGTGGCAGGGCTGAACTATGAATGAAACTACTCCAATCCTATTGGTGTTACTAGGTAATTACTAGGTAACGGTAGTGTGTGACGGCGTACGCCGGCACATAGGACACATTAGCCCTTTCTATGAAGCAAGGCACTCCAGGCGGGGTGAGGTGTGGCGGACCGACAAGGGTTACATACGTAACCGAGACATTCCCCTTCGAGGGAACTCGAACTGCGTCGGTGACGACACTATGGGAACGAGATACCCACTTAGGCCGCGCCGAAACCCCACCTACCCCCAGCGTGCAGAACCTGCTGGCACGACTAGGAGGAGAGTGCACGGGTGCCGGGTGCAGAAGGAAGGTCCAGACTGTAAAACCAGCCGCGTCACACAAATCCTGGAGTGACGCCCCTGCGAGGAGGGCCCTAGAAGCCGCCATGCCTCGAGTAGAGTGCGTCCTTACGGCTGTAGGTGAAGGTAAACCGCGCACCTGATAGGCCAGGGAAATAGTCTGAACGATCCAGTTGCTGATGGTGTGTTTAGAAGCGGGGAGCCCAGCCTTGGAGGACCCGAAACACACCAGCAACTGGTCTGCTTTCCTCCACCGGGAAGACCTCAGAGTGTAAATACTCAGCCCTGTCAGAGCAGATGAAGTCTCCCGTCCTCCGCCATCACATGAGGTGGGGGATGAAACGCCTGCAGCACCGTGGACCCTGCCAGTCTGGCCGGAACCTTAGGGACATAACCTGGAATAGGGTGCAGGATGCCCCTGACCGTCCCCGGGGGAAACTCAAGGCATCGGGGAGAAACCGAAAGTGCCTGGAGATCCCCCACCCTCCTCAGAGAGGTGATAGCGAGGAGAAAGGTCATCTTAAGGGTCATGTGCTTGGCCTCAGCCAACTCCAGGGGTTCGAGGGGGGCCTCAGCCAGCCCTTCGAGAACCACTGCCACGTCCCAGGTGGGAAACCTGGAACGAGTCACGGGTCTCATCCTCTTGGCTCCATGGAGGAAGCGCACGACCAGAGGAAGCCTCTCCAAGGGCCCATCACTCAGAGGGGCGTGGAATGCTGCAATTGCAGCCACATACACTTTGAGCGTGGACGTGGAGAGGCGAGCGGAGAAACGGTGCTGGAGGAACTCCAGTATCACAATTACCGAGCAGGTAACTGGGTCCACCGCCCGTTCTCTGC